CGTAATAGGGAACACATCTATTAAATAGAAAAATCGTGTTGTCAAGAGCAGTCTTTTCCACTTAAAAGTATACCAATAGTTATGAATGAACTTATTTCATCACATGGTGATGATGCTCTGATGCTGCTGATGACTGATGGTCGCTTCATTGTCTTTAAGTGTGGAACGTTCTCTTCAAAGATTAGGTGGCGGCAAATGGCCGGACGGACCGTGCCGTGCACTACAGCGCGTTCAAATTTGCCACCAAACTCTACCGTTCACCTTAAATTGCACGATGGATGGTAGGGTTGCCTACACAACAAGCACTGCTTAGCGTGACCTTGGATCCCACAGTCATCTATCTAATAATGGTTCGCATTAAGTGTTTAAGATGTGTTAAGGTGTGTGAGATGTATGCTTTCGTGGGTAGCATAGATTGAAAACCTATGCCCGACTGGTGATGTTTCAATGTGTTCACCGATTTACAGTCGTCAGTTTACGTGGCCAACACGAGTTTGCGCGACTCACGGTTGCGCCTGTATTCGTTGGGCAAGCCGGGAACGTCGGCATTTCGAAAACCGTCGCCGAATACAACACCCCGTTGTCTTCCCGTAGCAAGATTCGTGGCTGGACTTACATCGCCGCAAGCACATATTCATTGTCTGTATTTGCCACCCGTTTATTAATAATTAAGTGCACTGTCCCGTTCATACATGCACTTGGCGTAAAGGTATGCAATTCCATATTTTCGCGCTGTCAAAATGCCACCGTTTGCTCGCCCGGCCGTCGACGGCCAGTATTTCAAGTAGGACGAAACGCGCATGCGCAGTGTGTTGCCAGCATCCAGCAATCATCAATCATTCATTCATTCGTTGTGGCGAGAAAGGTGAGCAACATTGACGATTGAATGCATTGCCTCACCATTGCCCGGTAGGTCAAATCTGCCCCTGTCCGACATTCGCGATAATTCGAAAACGCCTTGAGATTTCGCTGCAGAATTTTCAGAGCTGTCGATCAATTAGTTTTACACGTTTACCAAAATAACAACTATGACACCATAATAGATCAAGCGTAAGTGACGTCAGAGTGACGCCATTTTTGCCGATTTTTTAAAAAAAGCGCATATCCGACCACGAATTGGCTCACAAGCCCAGCGAAAGAGCATATTTTACATCCGTTAACGAGAAATGTGAGCTAATAACTTCATCATTCATGTGCCTTGTCGTTGTGTCGTTTCAATACTGCACCTTGGGATATTGGCATGTCAATTCACAGCAAAATATTAATAGAAGGTACACTCAACATGTTTTGTCTTAGACTCAGAATTTTAGAAACATGAAAGACTGTGTCCTAGATACGACTGTGAAGGATGCCTGTACCAAGTTTCAGGCAACTATCGGAAACATGGTGACAAAGTGATCGCTTCAAATGTGTCACAGCGCACGTTGCTCATATCCGGGTGGGCCCGGGCCGCGACGGCGGGAGGCGGGGCTCAGGTCTGCCACAGCGACGCGGTGACGGGGCGGTAGCAGCCGTTCATCAGTTTTGCACGCAAACTAACGATACGTGACTTGCGGCGGGTTGGAGATGTTACATTACGCTGTTGGCGAGACTGAACCGTCGAAAACAACGCGAAAATTGATTGCAGCTGCTTATTTACCACCAAGTTCATCCATTCAACATTGACCTTAGACTGTTAATGGACAAGTAAACTATTTTGCTGACTTGTCTGATGCCCATGATTGCAGCTAAGCTCTTCCACTTAGCGGTTAGATGGTTCAAATATGACAAATAAATATACTAAAATAGACAAACATACCAAGATTTCAGCTGTCATTTGCATGACACTCTCATTTGAGCCTTAGTTTGACCTTAAACGGCAACCTCGAGAGGGCAGGATTTCTTGACGGACGCTACTTTCCCTCGTGTTGAATATTTTGGTGCTTGCGGATCTGAAATCGGCCGGTAATTTTTTAAATGATATTGAGTTCCACGTCCTTTGAGCCTGAATCTGACGCTGAAAGATGACCCTGAGATGTCAAAATTTTTGACGGACGCTGGTTATTGCGCTTTTAACTATCTTGATCACTGAAAATTTAAAATCAGTCGATAGTTTCTTAGTTCTTTCGAGTTCTTCATCATCTGAGCCATAGTTTGACATTGAAGGGTGACCTTAGAGGTCAGGACTTTTCGACAGGCGCCAGTTCATGCACTGGTGAATATCTTGATGGTCGGTTACCTTTGGTGATATGGGTCTCCCTGTTCCCCGTATCGGAATTTGATGCTGAAAGGTGACCTTGGGAGGTCAGGATTTTTTGACGGACACTGTTCTTTGCGTTTGTGAATATTCTGATGCTTGAAAAGCTGAAATCGGTTGTTAATTTTTGGCCATATGAAGATCCCCATCCTTTGACCTTGCTTCTAACCGTGAAATATCGCATAATAACGCAAAGTAAACGGCATTTCGGCGATGTAATTGATAAAAAGCGCACCGTAATTGATCATATAACGTGTTTCTCAGAGAAATCGGAACTCAGAACTCGGAATCGCTATGCATAACTTTGAAATTGGAACTCGTCACCGAAGAAATCGCTAAATGAATCGGCGACTTTACTGACAAATTTGACCATTCAGCTATTCGTGTCTGAAGTACGGCAGCGCGACTTGTCGCATCAGCGGACAGCAGCTGCCTTTCAACAATCCTCCCGCGCGTTACATGGAAGCCGTCGCGACCCTGCCACTCGGGCCCGCACGTATATGGCGGCGCGGTGACTGCGCTCCCGTGTATCACTGCCTTGAACAGGAACCAGGATCTCCGTTCCAGAAATCTGTTTCATGAGGCTGCTAAGCTGCTGACGAAGACGGAGCACAACACACAGAACCGATGTCACGACGGAGTTATCCTGCTGAAATTCCTGTTCCTGTCATAACACAAACACCCAACAACACGCATTTTTAAGAGAATTCTCGTTTATTTCTACTGACAAAACCTCACGGCTGGAATTCGCATCACCAATGGCACAAGGCTAGACGTTAACGACGCCGTCCGCCCAAAGTAGATCCGCGCGTTGTGCGCCGCACTGTGCGTGGCGCGCCAGGTTTAGTGCAACATCCGCCACTGGGCGACGTCTGGTCCAGCGGACAAGGCCACGATACGGGCGGAGCGATCACGAGTCAGACCACGAAGCTAGTCCCCGTCCACGGCCAGAGCACCGCCTACTCGACACGCCGACCCACGTCGTGCCTGTCTTCTGCTCTTTCTCGTAAGGCCACCTATCTCTGTCCGCAGGGTGGATCACAAAAACCGCCACCGTCCGCTGGCCAAAAGACCATTGACATCCTCTCCGAGTCCGGACACACCGACGGACATTGCCACAGACCCACAATCACCCGAAATCGACGGACACGGCCACACTTCGGAGGTCGGGCTGCTGGACAACCAACATCCCAAAATCGTATAAGGCTGGAAGGTGTTGCGATATTCATATGATCAGCGCAGACCAAAGGATATTGTCATCAAGTCGCTCTACGGAAAGTAGAGATAACCCGTTCACTTTCACTACCAAGTCCAAGTATAGCACTACATATCAACTATCAGGTCTCAGTATGCTGCGACCTACCCACAGATCTAACGACGGATTCGGAAACTGGCACAAGGAGATTCAAACACCATCACCGTTTCACGTTAAGAGAAGTCTTAGAGTATCGCCAAACATAGAATCCCAAGACGCTGCAGGCAGCACCGAACGGAATGTAGCACAATCCACAGGCCGCACGTGGTGGATGTCATCGACAACACCTGGTACAAGCGTAAAGCAAGCGCTCTTCCGAATCACAGCATCACGCGCCTGGAGAGGCGCGTAGCTGGTCAGAAAAGGCGCGCAGCAGACCCGCAGAAGACACAGACCAGCTGGAGCTGGTGCGGTGGCGCGGAGCGCACACCAGGGGCGAAACAGTGCGGTCCCGTCGGGCGCAGCGTACCACCCGGCCGTGTGTGCCTACAATCGGCTCGCCCCGCGCCGCGTACAGGATGCTCTTTGGACACGTCCTGGCGAATATCGACGCAAAATCCCTCATTTTCAGAAAGCCCGTTGACTAGTTCAAGCGCAGGTAATAAGTACATCGATGTCCCACGGAAGCGCTGGGCCGTGCGAGTACAAAACGCACTGGTCGAAAAGAAGACGAAATCGGGCACTAAAGGAGAACGCATACGCGAGCTAATGCAGATCGTTCACACCAGCATAGTACGAGGACAAACAGATCATGACAATAGACGAAGTCCCCATGTCCCGTAATCGTGTCTCCATGGCATCAGCCTCCATTCCATAAGCACACAACTTTGTTGAAGTCATCATCGTTCACGAACTACACTCCCCCTGAGCATTCCTCGAAACAGTTCATAGGAAGTCTAAGCTTGGCGATCTCCGGAACGCTCCGAGTCCTTCCACAAGACGCTAACAGGACGGCAAAGCTTCCACAACACAGCATCAAGGCCAAACGACTGGTTAGGCGCCGCACCGCTGCCGCCACGCGCAACAGACAGCACAGGCGAGATTAGCAGACGAGCTGAACCGCGACGCACGGTCACGCGTGGCGCCGTGCGCCGCAGATCGCTCACGAGCTTCGCACAGACAGGCATGCAGGCCCTGTTGTGCGCCGGACCAGGCGTCGCCTCCTACCCGTGTGAAGACAAAGCGACGCATGGTACTAACCCTGTTCCGTTGGCTACAGCGACAGCGAGCCCTGGCACAGCACCGCGCTACCTCCTGCTATCTACAAGCGCACTAGCTAATTGTCGGCGCGTGCTATCTGCCGATCGCCGGGCTCGGCCACGCGGGCAGCGTGGCCGAAAAACACCACTCGATATCACAGCTCGCACGGGCACCGCGGCTGGCAGGGAGGGTGCCGGGCGTCCCGCACCGGTGGCACAACTGTCATAGGCGCGAGGCATCGCCGCCGGCGCCCGACGGCCGGTCGGAGCGAGCCCTGCTGGCGGCCCGTTGGCCGCGGCGGGGCGCGCTCGTCGCGTGGCGTGACGTGGACCGAGGAGAAGGCGGCAGTCAGCCGGGCCGGTCGCGCACGGTGGCGCTGAGGCCGGCGCCGGTCACCGGCGGCATTTGACCAGCTTCCTCGGCTTGTACGGTGGGGAGGCGGCTGCGCATGCGGCCTCCAGACCGGGCTCCTGCAGCCGCCGCCACATGGCACGCAGCTCGTCCGGCGTCAGCTCGTGCGCCATCATTACGGCGTTGAACTCGCACGGCTCCATCGCGCGCCGCCAGAAGGTGAAGCCCACGTGGTCGGTGGGCCGCACGCCCAGCTTGCTGGCGCAGATGCCGGTGAGAAACACGTCTTCCAGGTGGTAGAGGGGCGTGGTGAGCGCGGTGCGGTACAGTCGCGCCGCTACATCGCTGCCCAGCACGTACGCTGTACCCGACACGTACGCCGGGAAGCGGCGGGCGGCGAACATGTACCGCGGCGAGAAGTACTTCGAATACTTGTCCAGCCTCGGCTCGGCGTTACAGATGAGCGCGCCGGTGATGAGGTCGGGTCGTCCCTCGGCCTTTAGGTACGCGTGCAACCGGGGGATGTTGACGTACATGTCTTCGTCTGCCTTCAGGATATAGTTCGGCTGACAGCTGGAGGTGACCCACTTGAGCATCATGACAGTCTTGAGCGTGAGGTTACTGTAGACGTCGACAAAGTCCTGCTGCACAAGATCGTCGTGCACCTCGCTCTCGGCAATCAGGTTCTCCACCAGCGAGCCGTTGGCCGTCGTGCCGACCAGGAAGCGGATGACGACATCGGCGGGCAGATTGGCCGGCGCTCCCCACGTCTGCCGGATGGCGTTCCGGGCCTGCCGGCAGCGGCGCCGCTAAGCCGGACGCCGGGGAGCATGGTCGACGGCCCCACACCCATCCGGCAGAATGAAGGGGAGCACAGACACGAGCACACTGCGGCAGGGACACAGTCTGGAGCGTGCGCAGCGCCAAAGGCAGCGCGCCGGCCAAGTTGCACCGCCTGTGGGGGATACCAGAGCACGAGGCACACCGGCGCATAGGAAAGGTTCGGAGGCAAGGCGGCCGGTACTGACAACAGGTCGCTAACTCCAGCTGGAGGGAGTAGCGCACCGCTCTCGTCCATTGCCATGGCCAGTCGCTGCACAAGAATGGTGAGGAGAAAACCCGGGCGCCATGCCATACGGGGACATAGAGCACTGCATCTAGGCGAAATTGCTGTCTGCCCGGAAGACCTCAGACAGCACTGGAAAGGCCCGAGCCGAGGAAGGCTTCCGGTGCTGAGAAGCGTGGAATATGGAACATAATGTAAGGAGCAGTGGAGGGTTTGGCGGCAATTTGGCAGCAGTCGCGTCGGTAGTTGTCGCAAGCGCGCCAGTGGTCCAGTGGACCAGCGAGTCCTTGTTTGTGGGCGCTGATAGCTATCACAAGCACTGAAGGAACACTAACAAGGACTCGCTTGAGATGTATGGAGGCGGATGGCTTGGTGATGCCGCATGGTGTGACTGATGGGGTCGCATGGCGAGGTTGTCCGCTAATCAACCACGTGACGCGGTGCTGAAATGTTCTTGAGCGATGCCCAAGTTCGGCCCGCCGTAGGCTGTCTGGTGAAGTTCACGCGTAGTTCTGGACTGGGGGGGGGGGGGGGGGGGTCTGGGGTTTCGCTTCTGTGGGCTGGTGCGGATGGTTGGCTTACCCGAGTGTTTTTCAAGGGTGGCACCAATAAATTTAAAGGGAAATGTTCAAATTTGAAGATACTGAAGCAAGCATCAGATATGATGCAATAGGCTTACTTATAACTATTGATATTTTAACTGAAAAAGACTGCCCTGGACAGCGCAATTCTCTGCTTAGTAAATATGCTCCTCAACGCGTTACGGCTTTATTACGTCATCGCACCTTGCACGACATTGAGCTAATTGACGGCCGTTATATTTGGAAATCACGCTCACGAACGTCAGATATGAACGCCTCGACAATTATGTTTTCTTGGCCTTGATCACCGCCTGGCTTATGGAATGACAGGATTTGAATAACGTTATTACGATGCCATGAATGCCAAGGTGACCTTAAAACACACTTTTCCCGATATATCTGTCCCAATTTTCGCCGGCGTGTAGCTCAGAAAATTTGAGCTGAGGTCTCAAGAATGGCAGGATTGTGAACACCACCAAGAACCCGTCAAGATGGCTATTTCAGTGCGAAATCCCATATCAATGTGGAACATTGACACGGGGATTATCACTTTCAGTGTTAAAGAGGCTGGCGTGTCCCAACAATAATGTGCGTGGGATGTTCCTCGATACTGCCTCTTCTAACCCTGGATGACAGAGTGGAGCTGTGAAGATGGAGCATACGTCGCAAAGAGGACGTCAATATCCATGTGCTACACCATGGCGACATCGTGCACATGCCCTGACTACCCTTTTTGGTGGCGACCAGTCTCCGACCACCATAAACAAAATGAATTGGGACGTTGAGCCTATAAGGCCAGGACTTGCTAGACCAAATGACCGAAGTCTTAATAAACATGGCGATGGAAATCCTCAAGGCTGCGAGCATATTACAGGGAATGCGCTTCGATGACTGACGAGATGTCGGAGAACCGAAGACGGTTCGCAGAGTGCTCTTCTACGTTAGGGAGTGGCTGAACTGTACTGAAGCCCGAGGCGCAGCGCCAAACAGCCTCAGGCGCTCCACGGACCCGTGCATGCTCTGCGTGACCTGGAAGTAAGCCGAGGTGGCTATACAGGTGTGCACCATGCATGACTGCCACATGTGCCAGGAGTTCACTCTCATGCTTTGAACAGTGACGAGATTGACGAAGGGGCAACCACACGTTCGGCGGAAAGCATTTACCGAGCTGATAATCAAGAGCCGCAAATTGCAACCTAGCAGCACCTGTTTGCCCTCGTTTCTAACAAGTTTCGAACGCGAATCACGCTGTATGCCAAATAATACAGGAACTTGGCAGTGGCACGAATTATGACGGAATCGAACAAGGGAATCAAATCGGTGAATCTGGGAATCTGGAACTAGGAATCGAATACGTTAAGAAAGCGCCATGACCGAGTATGTGAATGCAAGTTAACAGTATAAAGTCACCGATAACCCTGCAGGAAAACCACGAGAAAGGGTCAAAACACACGCACTTAACAGCTTTTGGTTTCTGCAAACAAGGCACTGATTCGCACGGCACCTCTCGGCATGTTCAAGCACTACAGGTGAGTCCGCTCGTCAGCTACGGTGGCAATTTCGTGGACCAGTTCGGAAGCCACTCTCACGACATAACTACGTTCCCTAACGCAATCAACCGATGGCGTATTGATGAGCTTATCCGCAAAAGTGAAATTTTGATTTCTAGAGCAGCCTTTGCACTTAAAAGCATACCAAAGTTACAAGTGAGTTTAATTCACCATACCTGGTGCTTACCTCAATATCTTCAAACGCAGAATATCCCCTTAAAAGACCGCCTCCACAAAGCCAGCAATCAGGCTTCCCCGACATGTCCGGCTCATCACCCAAGTTTCATTGCGTAATCCGGCAATACATATACCAGCGAAAGAGTAACAGAACCCTTCAGTTGCCAGGCTGACTGCGCCAACCTACTAACCGGGAAGTTTTTCACGGCCGACGAGACGACGACCAGCAGGAAGGGCCGACAGCCACCGGCGCTGTGTCCCGCCGGCTGCAGCAGGGTAGTGTTGTCGTCGGGACGGATGTAGTGACTGGTGTTGCGGTTCACCTCCGGGCCCCAGTCAAACCGCGGTACTGGCCAACAGACATGGGGCTGTCACGGTCACACCGGCCACCGACGCTCCAGCCAACCCGGGGCGGCCACCAGCAGTGGCGACGAAGGAATTGAGCACTCTTTATGGGCTTGGTTTTCGAGTAACAACGTTTTCTTTTCGTGGTATTGGGAGCGAGCCACCTATCAACATTTTGTGCTGCACTCGCCCATATGTCTCACGACAGTCAAACTTTGTATTGGAAGAGAACTTAGCTTGTTCAATATGGTACAGAGTTTACTTATTTCAACTTATTAAAGGAACCAAAACCATACTTAGCATCGGTAAAAGCCAAGTGGCGTAGATACCTCTACTCAAGGCTGGCTAACAAAAGCGAGCAGCCTGCTCACCAACAATGAACTTCATATTTATAAGCCAACTTCAAATGACGTCAATGCTGCCCTTGTATTGCATCCGGGGAGAGAGAGCGAGAGCGAGAGAGAGAGCGAGAGCGAGAGCGAGAGCGAGAGCGAGAGCGAGAGCGAGAGCGAGAGCGAGAGCGAGAGCGAGAGCGAGAGCGAGAGCGAGAGCGATAGCGAGAGCGAGAGCGAGAGCGAGAGCGAGAGCGAGAGCGAGAGCGAGAGAGAGAAGAGAGAGAGAGAGAGAGAGAGAGAGAGAGAGAGAGAGAGAGAGAGAGAGAGAGAGAGAGAGAGAGAGAGAGAGAGAGAGAGAGAGAGAGAGAGAGAGAGAGAGAGAGAGAGAGAGAGAGAGAGAGAGAGAGAGAGAGAGAGAGAGAGAGAGAGAGAGAGAGAGAGAGAGAGAGAGAGGAGAGAGAGAGAGAGAGAGAGAGAGAGAGAGAGAGAGAGAGAGAGAGAGAGAGAGTTTGACAATCTTTACCGTGCTTCTCTTTGAGCATGATCGGGATGTAGCCGATGAGACAGACCACAATGAAGGCGGCACAGATGGCAAACAGTGCACGCATGGAGCACGTGACCCCGTCCGGTGAGGCCGGCCGGTCCCGGACCGGCCGCACCCTCCGCATCGCACGCCACTCTGGGGAACAGCGCAGATTCAGGTCAGAGGTCAGGGACAGGGGGAGAGGAGCTATGGAACTCCCACTGGAGAACAGCAGACAATTACCCAGCAAGTCACCAGGATCAAAGTGGCACTTACTCAGTGCCACTTACAGTGGCACTTACTAAGTGGTCAGTCAATGAAAACTGCACTATAGCGTATCCCAGAGAGGAATGAGGCTGACTCCCTCATGTACCTAATTTCCCTTCCTCTTGTTTGGGAATGATATTCCATATATTCCCATGATGTGATGTACATTGTTGCATTACAGTGGAGATGGTGAAATTTAGGCAGTGGTGGTGGTTTCACCATGGGCTATGGCAGGTGTTGAGATTATTGCCCATACAAAATAACATAATGTGGAGACATAAATCACACAAATGCACTAACTTATCTGTTGCATGTGCACTCATTACACCCTTCAACAGCTGGGACTTAAGATATTTCAAAAAGGTTTACTGAAATATGGATTACTCAGGCCTGATTTTTGCTCGCCTTGTCAATGTGACATTGACAAGAGTTTATCATATCCTTTCATGCCCATGCTTAAGTAAACTATCCTCTCTAAGGTGTCAGGGGTCTTGGTGCCCCCTGGGCCAGTATTTTTCTTTAATCACGATAGATGGTTACTCAGAGAGTCAAAATTGGCATGCCTTCACTTAGCTCTGCCCTTCTCTCACCTCAGAAAGTTCAAGCTATGCACCTGTTAGCAATCACTAAGTGGACATCACCTATGAAAATATATGGCCATTATAATGGCTATTTGTTGCTTTGAAAGAATACATAGCCATTGTAGTTAAAAACAACCTAATGGCATAAGACCTATATACTAATTGCTATTAAGCCCTTGTAGGACCAATCATAGGTCTGCATTTGTTCCTTCAGCAGCAACAGCTGCTTACTTGATTATCTTATGATGAATGTTCACCAGTCTCAACCCTCCCCCAGCACACAGTGTGACTATGTGTAGGTGCCTAAATTTGGGCATGCCTTCACACTGTCCAAGGCAAACTCCCCCACTCCAAGTCCTGCACACTTAGGGAACTGCTTTATAGGCACCAAAACATCCACAGAAATGGGATTGCAACATCCTGACTGATCAACCTAGAACAGTTGAATGAAACATTACAAAAGGTTTAAAATAATGCAATTTATATAACATATGGAATATATAATAAAATCTACCAAATGGTTAAATGTATATTTCTCACACTAGTAAAAGCCCCAGTAACATGATACTTAACATTTGCATTCCATACAACTTGGTAAACTTGAATCTAACATGTTGCTTGAGAGACTGCATACAATCCAGCTCCTGTGAAATCCAAACATGCAGACCTTGACCTGAACACATGGCTTCTTGTGATTCAGACTAAAACCCCAGACCTTCAGTCTAACAGCCTGTCACCACAGCGTCAGATTAGGCAAAGGCGTCTACCACCACAACTGAATTAGAGAATCCCCCTTATTGCATCCTCTCATCATATCATATATCATATCATATGACATATCATAACAAACATATCCTCTCAAGCCAAATGGTCAAATCATGGAAGCCCTGGTTACATGGCCTTGTAGGTAGAAGAAAATTGATCCCAGGTGTGAGTGATGTTTGGGCTGTATTTTCACACAAGGTTTTCATTGCTCTCACACTTGCTCCCCTCCAGGACTGTGTGCAAGTCTGGTGGGTGTGACCATCCCAAGCACTTTGTGAAGGTGCCTTTGCTCCATGCAAAGCCCCTTGTCAAGGAAAATATATAAGCTTGATGCAGTATCGCCCTCTGATTTCCTTTTCATGAATAGCAAAAGAAGAACATCACCATATATCAAAACATGCTATCATTTCAACAGCATTAACAACCATCGAATAACGCCCAACGGAGGCAGGCCTTGTGTGGCAGGCATTTCCCTTACCCTCAGTATTCGTGATACTACACCCAAAACATAAGGCACAACCCAAATGACAAGGTCCACGAAATAATACAAACCAGCACCACCCGCCATGAGGCGCCCGCGGCCTATCCGCGCCCTTCTCCGGGCCCTACAGGGCCTCGGAGTCCCAGCACACTATCCCCCAAGGTCGCGCGCGCTTGCTCAACTGTCCCAAGCGTTCACGGCCTCGATCAATGATGCTTGTGCCCAGCTTCTCAAAGCTTACGCTGTGCGAATACGAGCTAGCTGATGATGACGTAACTGGTCAATCAATCCTCGTTTGTCATTTTGCTGGCCATGTTAGGCACAGTTTTGCACATAATTGTTTCATTCAGCTTGAATTTCGCCGTCTGCGCGACTCGAAACACAGATTCCTCATTTCTTACGCAATGTTGTCATGCTCACCTGCCGGATTCCTCACCGATACCAAACCGCAACAAGGAGATTCCCAAAGCCCGACTTGCGTGAGAGCAACGAGCGCCGTGACTGACTCCGTAATTCATATTAAGTTCCGACATGGCTTTGAACTTATGGCTCGCAGACGTTGTATTATGCATGGTGTTATGAATACCTCTCTAGAAATGGTGGCTGTACTCACTAATAGTCGACCTAACAAGAGAAAAGCTCTTTGGAAGTTATAAGTCTCCCGGCAATAGACATATTTATTTGGACTATTTATGCATTTCATTGTTCTTGGTCCTACCATGGGCAGCAAACGTCACTTTACTGGGATTCAGCAAGAAGCATTCATGCATTCACGCCGTCTCATGCATGCTTGTCACTTGGCAGGGTGGTCGTCGCGCACAGTTTTGTACAGATTGCACAGTACAGATTATGTGCAACGACCAGAACCCTTTAATCATGAGCTAAACCGTACAGCCATACACCACACGTACCTCGAAATTTATCCCTTGCAAACAGTAGCCACCTGGTGTAAGTCTCACCGGGGCATCACCACGTAGCCCCCACCCTCCACCGCCACTGAATTATGCCGACATCACCCTTCTACCCGCCCGAATTTTTCACCGGCTCACAATACGCCATCGCTGCCCGCGAGAAGCCCTTGCCCATGTGACGCGTAGGCTCACCTCCATTGCTATCCGCAGGGTTTCATTGAGTCAAGCATCTGTGACGCATTTTGCCCGTCATGAGAAAAGTTCGATTCAAGTGGTGGAAATTCACAGTCGCCCCGAGATGTGCAAGGTATATGAGCTATGCAAGTTTAAAAAGTTAACACCAAAAACATGGACCTGGCTACGACGCGTCCTCCTTCATGGCACAACATTAAGGCCGCACACATTATTCATTGATAAACTGTTTTCCTACAGACGGTTCATTAAAGCGTATCAAGCGATGCCAGGCAGGGGCCAGCACGTCATTTAACATCACACACTAGCGACATTTTTGTATACAGCCTTGAACAATATTTGTATACAGTCTGGAGAAAAATTAAAATGTCTGGACAAGAATACGCAAGAAAAAAGTAACTGCCGCGTGTCAGATGCGGACACAGCATTGAAACAATAGTCTAAAACAAGAAACTGGCAGCTTAAAACAAGTAAATGGCAGCTTTTTAAAAAATTGTGGCATGGTCGCTTTCGGAACTGTTCGTACGTATCCGTTATCAGGGTACCATGTCCTGTGTCGGAATGCATGTTGGCTTTTAGATGAGCCATGAATGGTGACTGGGGGTGCACCCACTTTGCACAAAGCGTAGAAATTCATCGGTGAGGTGACGTTTCCTGTCATCTCATGCATTCTGAAACATTTGGTACCAAAGTCGGAAACATAGGAAAACTAGGGGGTCGCGTATCAAGTGCATCATTGGCAACTTCCTCGAAAAATGCGGCTAAAATCGGGCAACTTTGCTTCCAAGTACGTTAACACTCGTTGCATGGATATGCAGCAGCCAACACCGTGTACCAGCCCAGGCCTTCATTTCACATCAGTTTCATTAATACACCCTGGCTAGTTAATCTTTAGGTGAGCTGAAGTGTCGAATCTCGTCCGAAATGACGTACTTCAGCATGTGTAGATGAAAAGCGCTCATGCAGGCACTGGGGTTCCTCATCACCTTTCCATATCACAGCTTTGCAACTGTTGGTGCCCACACTTGACCATACATACATGTTTGATCTAAAGGCTACGTTAGACATATCTGACCTAACCCGACGTTGCAAAAATGTATGTATGTCACCCATCTTGGGCGCTCGTCCCCCAGCTCAGACAATAAGGGAGTCAATTGGGTCCTGAGGGAGGGGAGGGGAGGGGATGGGTAGGGGAGATGTCCAGCCCAGGGTTTCGGGGTGCTCTTTCACTCTCAGGGTATCCTTATAGACTTTGCGACATATTTATAGACCACATGGCATCGTTTCGGCCCTCGAGCCGTGTCCTAACCTTCCGCCAGGGGTTGGCGCGCCTATGAGCTTTCATGACCATTACACGCCATGTTTCGTTCCGCCCTGTGCCAGGCGCACCTTAAGGGATGTTCTCCACACTCTCGAGAGAGCTAGGTCACTCCTGTGGCACACGCACCAGATGGTGATCAGGTCACGTCCCAGCAGGTCATTGAGCCTTTTCCAGAGACCACCGCTACGACCCGTGTTGGCGCTCTTTCCGTCCGTGGTGAAGCCAACCAATTTGTCGAGAGGCAGATCCAGCCCCTCAACAACAGTTTTGACCGCATCTAGTAGACATTTTGCGCCATCTCCTTCCGGTTCCACCACGCTTATAATGTTGGTCTGCAGCTCAGCGTCAGCATCGATTGCTCTGGCGGTGACGAATTTGTTGTCTTGCTGCTGACGGTCCATACTTCCGTCGGTTTGTAAGCTGCACACAACTCCAGCGGCAATCTTGGCGCCAATCTTGCTCCGCTCTAGGTTGGCGACGACGCTGGGCATCTCCCTGTACGCATCCGGATCTCTGTTGTGAAGAGCTGCAGGAGGCGGCTCTATTGGCTACAGGTCCACTTCCCAACCACCCTCTCTTACAGCTGTCCAGACTCGCTGCTCGTGCAGCGCCGCGAGCGAGCGGGCTGGCCACGACCAATCGGCCAGAGTCTCGTGCAGGCTATCGTTGTAAACAGCAACGGCGAACTCCAGAAGCGTCTTGGTGACACTAGCGGCAGTCCTCTTGAGGATGGGCATCCATGGGTGTTTCGAGCTTCCGCTATTCCACTGCTGCTCCAGGTTTTTCGCATCCACAGCAGCAGCATGCCATTTTCCGTGCACATGATCTACCAAGCTCATCAGTTTCTCCTTGCTGTCCGCTCTGACGCCGCTGGCCACGTAAACCCGCACGTTTACCGAAGCCTTGGCTCCACGTCGTGATTTGCGCAGATGGTGCACACCGTAGCAGCTCGCTTCCTGCCCTCATCTGCCGTTTTTTTTAGAGGGCAGTCGAAGGCGTTCAACAGCCACTGAGCATTCAGTTTGGCTTCATTGTACCACTCGTCAGCTGTCGCGCTGCGCTGGTTTGGTTCCGCTGCAGTGACAGGGTGCGTCTCCGAAGCAGTAGGGTAGATCGTCGAAGCGGCAACAAGCGCTCCAGAAGAGGCGGGTTGAGTATACCAGGCGGAATCTAGGAGCAGGGAAGTTGCAAGGATTAGGACTGACCATCGAACAAGAGAGAACTCTTACCAAAGGACGCAAGGATACTAAGACAGGCGTTTTCTGACTGCATGTATCAAGTTGCCAACTTTTGTTTTCTGTTGATGAAAACCGGGATATTATTTTCGGAGATATCATGGCACTGGCAGCAATGCAAATACCAAGCAAGTGGTTTCCTCCTTTGTAAGGAGTTTGAGGTCCAACCGTGTGCCGCGTCCTGTTTAAACAAACATCGTGATAAAAAAGCACGACAACCCTCGTACACATTCTACATAAGCGTCAGGTTTTCAGGGCATAAATATCTCGCCGCGGGTCATTTACACCAGGGTTATCACCACACGAGTCACTAAACATGATTACGAGTTTTGTTGAGTTTTGTACCAATACACCTCCCCATTCCGTCAAGGCTCACATACTCCTCACTCTTCCCTTGACACCTTTCCACACCTATGGATTTCTGATTATTTCGATATTTTGCAAATCGCATGCAAAATTTCAGTTAGCTTCCATCTCTTGCCTCTAGTATCCCACGAAATCCACTAGTTATAGTGAGCCACGCCATTCAGACCTACAGAATGTGGCAGGCCTTTCCCGTTTTCTTGCCCTGCCCTGTGACCCCGTGGACCCAAAAGTAGCAACTGCACAGTGCGCATCGAGCTGGGGATGAAAGAGGATCAAATACCTACCTTTTTCGCAAAGAACCGTCGTATGTCCATCGTAGAACAGAACGAGAGCAGAACAGAACGAGAGAGAACGAGAGAACAGAACGATAACACCAGCCGACAACGGATCCGCCACAGGCAACTGAATTAACGTTTTTAGGGCCTTGCTTCTACCCTGTTTAGGGCATTGCTTCTTCCCTAGTGTTATATTGCCCTGCTTCTACCAACCGGGGGTTTGCCGCCTCTGCCAAGCAACGATTTCGTATATGCTACGTCGTTGAAGTGCCGTAGTAAAAAAGCCGCCGGCTGCCAAGAAGCCACCATGTTAGGAAAAAAAAAGCCGTGAAAAAACTATAAAGAAAGATAAAAATGTTGTCGTTTGTAATTCTGAGCTTCAGGCATGCCCCACCATTGCTGATTTTTCTACTCAGGCAGTGCATTACCGTTTTTTACTTATCTTTATTTGACATCCCACGGGGAAGGCTAAATTAGTTCACTGGGAGAGGGGGGGGGGGCAATTTCGGTCACTGCGGGGGCATTTGTCCACCCCCTTCCCAATTAACATGTTATCCGAGGCCCTGTGCTCGGGTTGGGGGTCAATTTAACCCGCTCTAAAGGTCCTCTAGAATGGTTTCCGAATATCAAAGCGTCGCCGCGCCAAATTTTGCATAGTTGTAAAAGACTGAGTAGTCGATCGCTTGATATAAAACATTAAGGGGCAATTTTCAAGGTTG